TTTCAAGATGAGACTGGATGTGGCACTTAGTGCCATGGTCTAGTAACCACGGTAGGGTTGGACTTGATGATCTTTGAGGTCTTTTCCAACCTGGCTGATTCTATGATTCTGTGATTCTATGATTTGACATTAACATGTTAGGAAGGAGAATACAGGGGTGATGAAGATTGTGTTCTCAAGACTGACAGGAAGGTGGGAAACTCTGTTGAGCTGCTGGCCAAAGTATCTAGTACAGAAAATGAATAATTTTGACATTCACATTTTGAGAACTGCTACTGCTTTTCGCTGCCTGAGGTGAGGAAATACATATGCCACGCAATGTTATGTGGATCAAGTAAGCACTCCTGATATTTCAAACTGAGCCTGTCTTAATGAGATGGCATACAGTGCTCCACTGCTCACTCTTTAATAATAAACTCCAGTGTTGAAAAGCTGTCAGAAAAGTGACAGGGATTTCCAAGAACTGAAGGTCTCTTGTTCTGACTGCAAAACTGAGGCTGTAGCTGTAAGCAGAGCATTAGGAGTATCATTTCTTGATCATATGCTTTTAAAAATAGATCCTGTGCAACATGTTATACAGAGCCCACATTATAGTGACAAGAAATGCAGAAGGACTTTCATAGATATGTTTGAATCCGCTGACAACTACTGAAGTGATCTTAAAATCCACATGGCAATTATGGCTGGGACTTTAAAACTGTGGTAACACCTTTTCAGCAAAATTGAGCTCTCAGGAGAGTTATTTCTTCTGCCTTTGGGTTTTAGATAATTTTGTGCATTGTAAATCACTCCCACACAAATCTGCACACATAGGATAAGCTCTTCTAGTGAATCTGCCCTTTAACTATTGCAGATCATCATTAGAAGAAGTGTGGCATTTGAAGGTATAGTGCATAAGATATTTTGGTGTCCTGTTATGTAGTTCTAACCTTAGCTGGGTGCTGTGGGGTGGTTTTGGTTATATCCTGCTAGCTCTGGAAGTCTCATCTTGGGAAATGCCAAACCTTTTTGATTCACATGAGAACATGGAAATTGTCTGTCAGCAACCCACGTGACTGCTCCATGAGTTCTGCATCAAACAGGCCTGATCAGGTCCTAGTGTGGTTGAAATGAGGGAGCTGTACTGGTGGAAGCATGATGTCTTTTGCAAACTCTCTGGCCAATGACCACATCAGTTTCTCTGTGTGGTTTCCTTCCTCAGAAGAACTCAGTGCTTAGACCAGAAGTTTTGTCCACCCAGCACCTCTGCAGACCCCAGGGTGAAGGAATGGTTAAGGAATGGCTTTTTTCCACCCAGTTCAGTCCAGGCTCAGCACTGATAGCTGAAGAAGGGCTGTGGGCAGCCCCCTTCTGCCACTCCTTCTGTAGGAGCTCTGTGATTCTTAGAACTCCCTTGAGTTTTGGGTTATCAAGTGCCCCTTGTTGTAGCTGCATCAACTGTAGAATGGCTTATTTGCTGAGCACAACAACAGGGCTCCTGTTCGGGCAGGATTCCACTGGCAGTCCATGCCTGACCTGGAGACCTTTGATATTTTGGCTGGCAGACTGTGCCCTGCTTGGTATTTCCCTGTAAAATATGCTCTAGGTTGTCCTTTCTTTAGGAGACATTATCCTTCCTCCCACTCATTCCTGAGTCAAGTCCAGGCATCACTGCCAGTGCTCTTAGCTGGAAGGTCCACCCCTTTCTGCACTGAGTGTGCAAACCCACTACCCATTGCTTCTTCGCTGGACAGCACAGCATTCCAGCTCAGAAGGTGTCCCTGAAGTCCTGCAGCTGGACACATCTGCATTTCCAGCTCTGCTTGCCAGAGGGGACATTTTAAATGTACAGTACAGCTGCATACTGACAGCATCAATCAGGAGAGACCGAAGATACTGGGCTGCTTTGGGCTGGTATTTCCAGTGGATCCTCATACTGCTGCTTTTCATGGATATCTTTGCCCGCTGTTACCCAGAAATGACAAGACATTGGAGGAGATTGTGAATTATTCTGATGGGAAGAGCACACTTACCTATACTATACCTGCAGTTTGATCTTGATAATTTGTCTACTTTGTGCCTTTAGAATTACATGGAGTTTTCTTTTTCCTCCTCTTTTTTTAGAGAAAAAGGTGTAGAGAGACATGGAGCTTGAAAGAATCATTCGAGACACGCTCACACGCTTCATCCAGTCCCACAACCCTGCAGCAGATCTCAGGTATGCCAAGATAGACATCACTGTTCTAGCTTCAACTGTGTGTTAATTGTCCCTCTGTGCATTATACTGAACTCTGTAGCCTTCCCATACTTCGTGTTGCTCTTCTTTAAGTCAGATTTAGGGTGCAGGTAATTTGCACAGGCTCTGATGGGAATGCTTGAACAACTATAGTTTAGCATTGCAATCTAGCAATGTAATTTCTGTGGTGAATAAGATGATTAATTTCCTGTCTAGTAATGCCCATTAGAATATGGGATTTCCTTCATTCCACAGTGCTCCCAAAGGGCTTTCTGAGCAGGATAATGCTATGTCGGGGTTCTCCCTGTTTTGAACTCTGCTTGCATGCAGACAGGCTGGAACACAGCAGCTGGTTTTGCAGCTGGTGGCAGCACTGGTACAAGTGTGGAGAGCAGCAAGCAGAGAACACTGCATCCCATAGAAAGTGCAACTTGACAGAATATGATGACCTTACCTGAAACACCAGTCAGCATAGAAAAGTCAAGGGTTTGAGCACTGGGGATGTTTTGGCTAGCTCAGCTGAAGCACCTCCAGGAGCACAGTCTTTGGGCACACGCTGGGGGTTTCATTCAGTGCTGCCCAGGAAACAGGACTCCATGCAGTATTTTATCTGTTAATGCTTCCACTCAACCACTGACCACCTGCTGCCTGGCTTTACTGGTGGTATCTGCCCAGAAAATACAGTCCACATAGGTCCTGCTGCTGCTGTATTAGAAAGACACGAGATTAGGGAGAATGGGGATGGAGACAGAGAGAGAGAGAAAAAAGGGCCTGTTGACCTACTGCCATATCCTGTGTTCTCTCTGTCTCCAGTGGGATGGATGATGTTTTCTTCTCTTATATCACGGGTGTCCTGGAAGAGCTGGGCTCACCAGAGTCTTCGGAGGAGACTTTTGACATGGACACCTTTGTGGAAATGATGGAGGCATATATCCCTGGTTTTGCAGAAATCCACAGGTATGTGAATGTTACTGCTTTGTGTGTGCATGCCATGCACTGAGGGCCTGGACCCGAGCTCCTCAGTACCAGAAATTCTTTTGTTATACCCAATTGAAGATGTATAAGTGCCAAACCTGCATCAGTCTTTGCCTGAATACACAGATGCTAATCCCAATATAGTTTGTAAGTAGGTCCTTGGCTATCTGAAATACCTGTTGATTTTATTGGGCTTCACATCAAGCCTTGTCTTTCTATAAAGAGGTAGCCAAGTAGGCTGGGCTAGTGCTTTTATGCTTTACACTAATTATACAGCTTCTGTCTCTTGCAGCGGGGATGTTTGTGAAATGATGTTCTCCCTCTCAGAAAGGCTTGGTGAAGCTCGCAACAAAGGTGAGTTACACAAACAATTTCAGCATAAGAAGGTATATTCTCTACATGTTCTCAGTCTTAATATTTGGAGTTGAGCAATGTCACAGGATAAGATATGATCTTGTTTGCCACAGTTAGGATCTCATAAGGAAGCCTGAATTGATTGACAGGTGTTTTTTTCCATGTTCAGTCAGGTTTTTGATATCAACACATGGGAGGCTGGAGTCATATGGAATACTGTCCAAGATATACTGGAGTGAAAAACACTTGATCAATTCTCAAAGTACCTCTGTTGAGATCAAATTCAGGGTAATAAGGAAGAAATAGCAGATACAGGGCTGCTTGTTGAAATTCTGCTGTAGGTTAATTCTGAAAGTGAGGATTTCTGCCTGACTCTGATAGCTATAGTGGCACTACCACTAAACAGCCTTTATCAGGTGCATCATCAAATAGAGTATCCAGCTGAATACATGTATCACTTCTAGACCTTGAGCGTCCTCAAAGCTCACTTTCCGTTCACCCATGAACCCTGACACAGATGCAAAATCAGCAATGTGCTCTGGCCTGCACTTTGCAGAACTGCAGAAGACTACACTATGCCAATGGCCTTTTCTAACCTCAGCATTCATAGACAGATCAGCTGGATTGCCCTATCAATCAGTCCCACAGGTACTTCTCACTAAAGAACAGCCAGCTTGAAATGCTCAGATATTAAACCTTTCAGGACATACCAGTGTGAATTTTTCTTGTCTAGCAACACCACTGCTGTCTTGCCAGAAGGCTACAGTGTAGAACAGACAGTCCTGCCTTTTATCTTACTTGCTGCTTTCTTGAACTTGACAAAATCTACTGCTCTGCTCTGGTCTCCTGCATCCTACCCTTTGAGGATCCTGATGTAGCCAGAGTGTGGAAGAAAAGCACCATCCCAGTCTTAGATAGTACAGAACAAAGGGGAAGTGATTCTTCTTATAGTGACACAAAAAGAGCCTTTAAAAAAAGAGATGCGTCAGAATAACCTAATCACAGGATGTGCTGGCTTACATGCAGGCTAGGGACTACCACAGTGTATTCCCAAATTTAAAATCAAAACCACACCTTAGTTCAAGAGAAAACACCAGGGAATTCTTAGAAGTGTAAGAAAAATATCTTAAGTATCCACAACCAAAGCACTAGAAAACTGAGAATTGAAAGGTAGAACTGAATTTGCAAGCAGCCCATGCCCCATACAGCCTGGAAATGCAGAACTTGGGCACTCCAGCCTGTGCTAGCACTGCCTTCCTGCAGGTCAGTGTGAGCAGAGCTGCAGCTGTCCCCACTGAGGCCAGGAAGAACAGAAGTGCTTCCAAGTCTTGTCACTTAAGAAGAGATTTGCTTTGGCACATGATGCACTAGCAATCTAATGCCAACAGAAAGCACAGAGCTCTAGCCTTAGTAGCACTGTTCCTCAGGAGATATCACTATGTCTTTAAGAAAAACCTGGCCAAAAGGCTGTGGAAAGCAGGAGTGAAGCACCCTCTGAAGACATCACCAAGGGCCAGGAGCCTGGAGCTGGAGCCTGCAACGGGGAAAGGCTGTGCACTCTAACAGACGGAGCCAGGGCCCAGGTATGAGTACCCCACAGAGAAGCAGGAACACTGGGGACAGTCACACAGCATTAGGCTACCAGCACCACCCGAGGGCATTTTCCAGCTCTGGAAGGAACCACAGCATAGGCTGTGACAAAGCATCACTGGTATCCGTGATCTCCTCCATTGTATGGCCTGAGCAAGACTGTGTCAGAAAATTATGTGCTGACAGAAGACGATGAGCCATCAGTCTGGCTCATCCGTTCCAGTGGCTGGAAAGGATGAGCCGGAGCAATGGCTGAGAGGGCCTATCCCAGTGCCTTCAGCGATCCCAAAGCAGCACTTTGGATCCACATCTACAGCATTAGCCAGGCTCCTCCCCACTTCACCCAGTTCCCGTAGCCTCATTCCACAGTTTGAGCTGGATCACCATTGCTCTCCTCAGCTGTCGTGCAGTATCTGCTCAGGAAGCAGTCACATCTGGGTGTCAGTCCTGAAGACACCTGCCCCACCCTCAATGTCCTGTGCTGTGCACTTACTGAGCTTTACAGCACTGAGTCATTGTCCCAGCAGTCCTGATCCTGCAACACCTTTCAGCATAGCCCATGCTACAGGCATTGCAACACCTGCCAGATGCCCCCCACTTTCCTCCCCCATGCTCTGCTTGCTCCAGTACTTATCTATTCCTGCTTTGCAGCACAATCATTCTGTGTCTACAGCCTTCTAGCAAATGCTGCTATGGCAATTCCTTCTGATGTAGTCTCAGGTCACTGTTTAGCAGTCCCTTTCTGATCAAAGCACATGTAACTTCACAAGGTGGGCAGGAGTTCGGGCATTCACACCAGCATTCAGAAAGCTCACTCTAAGGAGTCACACAGCATGGCCACACAGATGAGTCAGTTCACAGCAGCCCTACTTTAAAGTAAGTTGAAATACAGAGGGAGGAGATTAAAGAAGAGTGATGCTTTTCCTTTCCAAGGACAGTCCCCTGTGAGCTTCAGGAATGGGATTTAGTCACACTTTTAAGGAGAGAGAGCCTTTAGCTAAGGGCAAGCTGAATTTCCTGGCAATGCCAAACCAAAGGCCCTTTTCAAGAGCTCTCTCCTCACTGCATCCCCAACTTAGCTCTGTCTCTTGCTCCACCTAGGAAGGCAATGACTCGAAGGATGGAGTGGAGCTGCTACTGGAGATGTTCCCAGCCTGTACTGTGAGCCAGGCAGAGAAGGCTCTCGCCATGGCCTTGGGGAACTTGGAGGAGGCAGTGCAGTTAATTGTGGAGGAGAAGGTGGAAATTGGCCCAGCAGGTGCGAGTGTGAAGGTACTGTACTCCGACCTGGGTGGCAGTAGGCCAAGGAGCAGAGCAGAGCGCAAGGACACACAGGTGTTATAGCTGTTTGCTATAAGCAGAAGCTTTGACTGCAGTAACCTTCTGCACAAGGAGCCAGGAGGATCACCTAGAGCAACAGTCCCTCCTCCGGCTCTCTTAGTATAGGCTGTGCCCACAACTGAGCCAGCACCCCAGTGGAGCTGTGGCTGGCACACCCTTTCCCACAGGGGCTGGAGTGCTCCAACAGCAGCTGGGCTCACTGAGCGAGCGGAGGGGGGGAGCTATAGACCCTGTGTGTTGTGCTATTCACGCACCCATATTTTGTCTCCTCCCAGGAACTGGCACGGCCCCGCAAAGCGCCCAACCACGAGGAACTAAAACAGGTTATCCTACAGAAGTAAGTATCCAGCAGCAAAGAACCCCTTATTTTGCTCCCAATTTGCTTCCCCACTTGGGGAACAATGTGGTCTATAAAGAGCTTGGGGTGCAAGATGCTTAAAAAGGATGATGTGAAGCTGATTCAGGTAGCTGAACATACCTAAGCACAAATACAATCACCATATGGAGAAAAAAAAAACCCAACACCAAGTTTGGGCTCTTTCAGAGCTCTGGCACAGAAACAGGTTACCTGTACCAGCTGGGTCACAGCACAGGCTGTGTGTGGGGTTTCAGCCTCTTACAGAGACAGAGTAAAACACAGTACTGTTAGCTGAGGTCCTGGTTAAAGGTTCAAGGCATAAACGTGCTGCAGCTCAGGTAACAAACACACAGTGACTTGTAGAACTACAGCAACTCATTCATACCTCTATCCTTGGAGACAGTCCAAACAAGGCTAAAGATATCTTTAAGATATTGCCTGTACAACAACACTGGGAAGATTAAATCTCCGCTGCTGAAGGTGTGAATTCAGTGCATTTAAAGAAACCTCTTTGAAGTCCCCTGTGGACTTCTTGGGAATGAAAGTAGCTTTAGATTGGTTTACTTATATTCATTTCTAAAACCATTTAATTCTCAATGGGAGAACACACACTGTGGTTTCATCGATCTGCTTTAAGATCTCAGCTTTCATGAGTATCATTATGCAGGCATGCAGCTTCCCCACATCTATCCAGCCACATCTTTTCCACCACTTTACATCCTCCCCAGTGACAGCATAAACAGTCAATAGGCTGGGAAAAATAAAGTAAGGCATCCAAGCAGAAGTTGCAATCCCTGTCCTTGCCCATCTCCTGTGCAGGCTCATTTCAAAGTGACAGACACTGAAACAAAAAAGCACCAGCTGTTTGTTATGTTTCTGAGAACTTCACTTTAATGACATTTTGGCAACATCCTGTACTTTAAACATCACTCAAGCACAGGTACAGAGAGCAGATCGCCATAGCTGAAGATACACATGAGCAACTATACTAACTACTGAGGGAGAAGTCATGGTCAGCTGTGCTAAACCAGCACGAAAGTCTCAGAGAGTAGCAACTCAGCAGTACAGCAAGCAAATGCTTGGACCCTGACATTTCAGTCACATAGGAAATGAGGTGATGCTTTTATGAAGTTGCTTCCAGCACAGATCTGTTTCATAGTCAAGTAGTAGGCAGAGTATGAAAGGAACACCATCTCTTCAGGGCAGAAGCAGACTGGTCCTGTAACCTCTCCTTTGGCTGCCATCCCTTGGACTGAGAAGGAGCAAAGCTGCCCCAATGGCAGAGCACACCAGACCTCAGCAAGTTCTCTCAGTTCTGCAGTGGCTAACAGCATTCTCAACCACCTGAATTTTCAATATCCTTCACATACAGCCAAGGCTGCTACTCCAGGAGAATCCTGCTAGATTCTCACCAGAAGGATGACACACTTGCCTGTTTCATCCAGAGGGGAACACCAAGTGCTCCTAGCTGCAATCTAGGCACATAGGACACATTGCACAGTCACAATCCAGCCAGTGGAGCATGGACACAGGCTGTGAGTAGCCTCAGACAATGTATACTACAGTGTTCACTAAATGCTTCTTGTGTTTCAGATACATGATGGTGGATAGTGCAGATGACCAGAAAACACATCGGCCAGCTCCACCCAAAGAGGTAAGCAGAGCAGTCCCAGCTCATCAGAAGTTTGAACATCCTTTGTTAACAAAGGTTTAAAAAAATCCAGCTGCAAGTCCAAAAAACAACAGGGCAGGCCAAAGGCAGGACTGTTCACAGAACCTGCTAGTCAAAGAGGGAAGATTAGCTTAGCTAAGATGCTGCAGGGCCTATCAGTTCTTACCATTCCTGACTACCATGGCTTTTTGTCCCCTGAATCAGACAGCATCCTTCCCAGTTTTGGCCAGGATTCTCAACACACATGATGGTAAACCAGCCCACCCACCCACCTACCTCTCGGAGTACAGCTCTGCTTCTGCTTGCCCCCTCCCTTTCTAGCAGTGTGGCTGTCCATCCTCCTGGTGTTAATATCTTTCCTTTACAGGCTCCCAAGAAGTTGATCCGCTATATTGATAACCAGGTGGTGAGTACAAAAGGAGAGAGGTACAAAGACATCAAGAAGCCTGAGAGTGAGGAGATGAAAAGAACCTATATCAGCCTAAAACCAGCCAGAAAGTACAAGTTCCACTGACAGCCAGGTCCTCCTGCTCTTCAGCCTTCCACCTCACTGGCCACGCATGGCAGGATGGATGTGTGGCCCTAGGAATGAGGGGACTCCTCCACCTGCTGCTAACTTGAACTAACCTGGGAGCCAGGACACTGCTTTCAGCTTCCCTGACTAATCTGGTTGGCAAGGAGACTTCTTCTTGTGTAGCTATCCCTCTGCCCCAAGGGGCACACCGCAGTGACGCTCCTGGGCCTGGGCATGGTCTGCTATTCCTTGCATGGGACATTTTTAGATCTGCGATGTGGCTTGTGCTTTTGCAGCAACCTTTTTAACAAGTCTGTGTGCACTGTTGCTTTGAGTGCCAGTATTAATAAAGATGATGTGAATTGGTGTGTAGTTCAGCCAGAGCATGCACATGCTTTACAGACACTGCCTCCAGTCCCTCCTAGGGCCAAAGATAGGAGCAGGATCATCCTCTAATTATGCTCTTCATCACATTCACCATAAGATGCAGCTGCTGTTTGATTAACTGCCTAGTGGATACAAGGGCTGAGGCTGAACTCCAGACCAGAGCTAGGCTCTCCTGCCAATAATACAACCTGCAGCACTCCATAAACCCCAGCTGACAGCAGAGCAAGAGCTCCTGTCATTTCTCACCACTGTTGAGTGCCAAAGCTGCAGCCACGCAACACAGAGCAAGATACAGTAGCAGGCCTGGGCACTACTCAAATGTTAAGTCGGAAGCTGGAAGAAACAAATGACAATGACCAACTGCTTTCAGTGACAGCACAGCTAGGTTTGGTGATTTTCTGTCAGTGAAACTGCAGTTAGGAGCATGTTCCCCCTGAAAACAACTCCTACCATGCACCAGCCTAAACCAACACCCTAGGTTTGGACAGACACACTGCCCGTGCCAAGGCCATGTCAGTCCTTTGGCGCCAGGCTGGCCAGTGGCCATGGGCAAGAACTAGGCTCATTCTGCCCTCCTCCTAGAGCCCAGAGGGGCCTGCCCTCTCCCAAGAGGAGGGCTGGTAGCTGTTTTCCTTTCTGCTCCAGCTGGTCTGGTTTGCTCTACAGCTCTGCTGGCATGCCCTGCACACCCACCCCAGGGGACAGTCCCCTTCAAACGCTCTCCTGCTCTCTGGACAGCTGCCGCTTAGAGATTTAAAATACAACAAATAATAAATCCTATCTATTAGCTGGCCTGGCCAAGGCCTATTCAGCACCATGGTGTTCTCTCCACGCCACTGCAGAGGGAGTTACTTTCCCCAGAGGCACCAATGAAGCCCACTCACGAACACTCAGTGGCTGCTCAAAAGCCCCACAGGAAAGAGCGAGCCCCACCTTAGTGAGCCCCACTCAAGCCAGCCTCACCGATGGGCCCGACCTCTCCCTCTGCACGTCTCCACAGCAGCCAGTTCCGGCATCCTTCCAGGATCCCAGCGTCGTGCCAGTCCCCCCCTCCCCAGCAGCAGCAGTTCTAGATCTGAAGGTTGATGAAAGGGGCGAAGCCAACCACGTCCTGCAGCAGAACAAGAGCCCTCTGCAGCGGAGGCTCCACATCCAGCTCCACCCCACGGCTTCGGAGGATGCTCAAGCTGGACTCAGCCACGTTGTGGCAATGCTTGACCTTCAGTGAGCGCAGCTTGGGACAATATTCAGCCAGGACCCTGACAAGAAAGAGAGCACATGCAAGTCAGGACTCCTACTTCCAGCAGCCCAGTGCTCATGACTGTACCACACATGCACCATCCTTTGGGAGCAGCACTCTGGTGGTGTGAGAGAAAGTCAAGGGACATGGTTGGATCCCAGACATATCCTCCATGATATTCTGGAAAATTTGCTGCCTCTCCCAAAGGGCCTGTTAGTGACATGTCTCTCAGACTGAGCTCTCATTGCTTTCAGCTTGAAGAAATCTGACTTTGCTCTCTGGTTCTCCTTCCTCTCCCCAAGCCAGACACCTGACACCTCCCCACCACAGCTCCCCACATTGCTCAGTACCTGATGGAGTCATTCTTGACTCGCAGACACCCTGTGAGGTCCAAGTGCTCCAGATCAGGGCAACACTTGGCAGTCTCCTCAACTGCCACGTCGCCCACGTTGGCATTGACAGCCAGTGACAGAGACTTGAGCCTGCTGCACTTCTGCACCAGGTAGCAGATGGCCTCATCCTTCAGCTGGCGACAGGCCGTCAGGTCCACAGCCTCCAGTGCCTTGCAGTGGTCAGCCAGGCTGCGCAGGGACAGGCTGTCCACCCACTCGCAGTGAGCCAGGGAGAGCTGGCGCAGGTTGGGGCAGCTCAGCGAGATGGCCACCAGTGCGTGGCGGCTGAGCTGGGCACAGCCCTTCAGCTGGATCTGGTGCA